TTAAATTAGAGTTTGGATTATGATTATGTAGACATGTTGATATTGTTGTTGTTTCTGCCCTAGTTTTATTAAATTAGAGTTTGGATTATGATTATGTAGATATGTTGGTATTTCCTAGTTTTGTGGGATTAGAGTTTGGATTATGATCATGTAGACATGTTGGTATTTCCTAGTTTTGTGGGATTAGAGTTTGGATTATGATTATGTAGACATGTTGGTATTTTAGAAATGTTTGTATTTTCTTATTTTTCTGCTCCTCATGAATACACATAGTTTTTGTATAGGCTAACATTGATAAATCCGTTAAAAAGTCAAAAATACCAAAGCAACAGAGTTGCCACTCATAGAATGTTTTTATTTGAATTCCCATTGTTACATGTACTTTGAGGTCACGGTTACAGCTACGTGTGAACTACAGAAATGTTTTGAAGTTATTTGCTTTGCGAATTGAAACTTGATAACTTTCAGATTACGAAGAAGAAAAAACAACTTTTGTATTTATTTATACTGTTACAGTGATTCAAACCTAGATGTTTATTTACGAAAGTTTTTATCTTTTCTTCAGTTTTAACAGGTTGAAGGTACCATTTATAAAAACGTGATATTATCAATGTGTCTATGTTTCATTTTTACATTTAAATATCAACCAAATAATTATGTAGTGACATGATTTTTAATATAAACATGTATTTGACGTTCTTCTGAATAAATTAGATAAATATCGTTTAAAAATAGGGAAATTTACTTATGTATGAGGTAAGCGGTCCTGCCTACCTAGAATTTCATATTTCTTCCTAGGCTTAACATTTAACTCCCTAGCATTCACTGACAAGTGAATGAAGGACGAAACAGTTGTACGATGTAGTATCAATAACGAGTCCTAGAAAGACGAAACAGCTGTATGATGTAACAACACTGACAAGTCCTAGAAGAACGAAATAACTGTATTATGCAGAATCACTGACGAGTCCTAGAAGGATAAAACAGTTGTATGATGTAGCATCACTGACGAGTCCAAGAAGGACGAAACAGCTATACGATGTAGCATCAATGGCGAGTGAATGAAGGACGAAACAGCTGTATGTTGTAAATTGTGGCAATAAAACATCTGATCCAAATTTGTGTTGTTTTCGCAATCTGTATACCTACTATTGATCTGAACTTACAAAAGCAAAACCCTAGGTATGGAAAAATAGAAATCGAGGAAAAAGATAGATTAATAGAAAATGATTAAAAATACATAAATCGTCACTCTTAAACGTATCAGGACACAAAGATATGCAATTAAACTACATCTTTATCTCTTTAACGTTTCTGACATGAGGTTTAATCGATAATCAATTAAAACATATTGGTGATCGAGAAGGAATCATTATATTGCGGCTAATTTCTGTGAGGCTTTGCTTAAGCAGGTTACATGAATATCAAATCCCCCAAATAACTCACGTACTGAACTCGATTTTGTCTTGAGTTAGAGTCAAACAGTTGTTAATCACACATTCAACTTGTTGGCAATAATAACGGGAAAAAAATACTCTCAAAATATCTCATTTTGATCTGTTTTAAAGATAGACAGCAAAGAATCGTTGTTTGATTTCTGTTAAATGTTTTCACCACCAGTTATTTCTAACTAGCTTTTGGACTTCCGGGTCACAATATCTACTCTTATGCATTAGAGGTCGAATCAATAGCCACGATTCACAAAAATCAGAATATAAGATAACAAAACACAGCTTAATCCTAATCATTATATTTTTTCAATATAAAACATAATTAAAAATGTCACAATTATCTGTATTTTTTTTATTTTCTCGAGACTCCACAGCTCCAAAGTTTTATGAGTCCCTTTACGAATGAGGCCCACAGGAAAAGCCTGAGTGCATGACTCCAATGTGTGATAAAATGAATAATCATACCAAAAGAGCAGCGCACCTGTTTAAGCGCACCTGTTTAAGATTCTATTGTCATGGCTCTATTCCTATTTTCCTGTGACGAAATCCCTGCTGGAATGATATACAGAAAGATAAAATTGCTGGCATTTGTAAAAATGAGAGAAAATAGTCCCTCTAAAACATTGTTTCCGCGTGCAATTTTATATTGTAAAATAAAGACACGCTTATAATTACAGAAACAGTAGAGCCAATTCCTGATTTTAACTGATATTTCGTCCTGCTTGGAGCCGTCACTGATAATATGTCTTTCTGAAACATTTTTCTTTTATTCAGTAAAATGGAAAGTGTACGATTTATTTGACGGGGGAATGAATATTCATTATCTACTTGTCATTAAATCAGTGAGATATATATTAATGTTTTCATAAATAGTATATCAACACCTTTTATATTATATTAAGATGTTTTTGTAAACAAATGTGTCACTTTTAACACCTGTAGCTGAGAAATAGGATCAGTCATCGTTTCGCTGCTTATGTAAATATACTGAAGAATATTTATATTACAAATATCAAGGAAGTTCAAGTACAGTTCATCTTTGTGCCTCCGTATATCTTAACCAAGTTATGCTATATCACGTGACAAATGCTTATACCACGTGATTTCTGATGGAAACATTTTCTCTACTTTGTTATATAATACGACACAGGTAAGATGTTTCTATTTTTAGTGTATTGTGTTTTTGATGAATATCACAGAGTGTGTTGTTATCGACGGTTTAACGACTCACAGAAAATAAAGTATTTTAATAAATTGATCGAACAGACAACGAATTTCTTTAACAATTTCATTTTCGATGTATCTCTTGTTCGCGGTTTCGTTACATCCTCGAGAAAAGTGAAAAAATACAGTATCCTTTTGATATTACCAATATACACTACTTATGTATTTTACAAGAAAAGAATTTCTTTGAAGAACTTACTCATAATGCATACATGGAAGCAAGAATGACGTCATATACAGTAGATCTGATACTAAAGAATAACGTCATATACAGTAGAACTGATACTAAAGAATGACGTCATATACAGTAGATCTGATACTAAAGAATGACGTCATATACAGTAGATCTGATACTAAAGAATGACGTCATATACAGTAGAACTGATACTAAAGAATGACGTCATATACAGTAGATCTGATACTAAAGAATTCCGTCATATACAGTAGATCTGATACTAAAGAATGACGTCATATACAGTAGATCTGATACTAAAGAATGACGTCATATACAGTAGATCTGATACTAAAGAATGACGTCATATACAGTAGATTTGACATTACGTATAATAAATAACCTTGTAAACGATGTAGGATATATGTTTTAATCATTGTGTTGCTATTAATCTGTGAATGCTGAAAATAGTGAAATTCATTAAGCCATCAATGGATACTGACACCATCTCATTCATCCTTGAACTAAACAGTTATTTTGAATTAACTGTTACATACTGTTCACAAACATCATAAAATAAATATATCCTTTTTGTTATATTATGATCAAGTTAAATTTATCCACATTTGGGTAATGTAAAGTATACATCACCACATAAACCGATAACCTTCTCACTCCTCAAAACTGACCATAACTAAACATATGATAATAATATCACAGAGGCCATCATAAGGGGAACTGATCCACCAACATAAACCGATAACCTTCTCACTCCTCAAAACTGACCATAACTAAACATATGATAATAATATCACAGAGGCCATCATAAGGGGAACTGATCCACCAACATAAACCGATAACCTTCTCACTCCTCAAAACTGACCATAACTAAACATATGATAATAATATCACAGAGGCCATCATAAGGGGAACTGATCTACCAACATAAACCATAGGACAGCGAGCGACATTATCCGATACTGATTAACAAACAAAGAAATAATAAAAACAAATGATTTCCAATTCAAGGTGAAACGGTTAAATCATATAGGAAAGACGAAAGTGAAATGGTATTACGTAATTTCAAAATGTTTCATTTCACGAGCTTGAGTAAAAATAACGTGATCCGGTTTTTTAAGAAGACATTTCTCCCATATGAAATTGAACAAAGCATTTATTTTCTCCATAACACAGCGAGAGACAAGATATTCAAAATGCAATAACATGGAATTCTATGCGACAATCTTAAATAGTGTCCTGAAGAATTTTCCTGAATAATTAATGATTTCCCCTCATCGTGGCCCCGACCATGTAGGGTTCAGGGACACAGCTGGAATGACGTCTTGGTCATGGACGATATTTAAAACAAAATATAATTTGACGTCAAAGAGTTTTTGTCCCTTTGACCGTTTCCTTTTGAATATGTAAGGACTTATAAAAGACAGGAGATGATCGTCTCCATGTCATTCTCTTCAGACTGACCCAGGACTATCAACGATATGGACCAGGTGTCTATTATATGTCTCTTAACGATAACATGTAAGTAGTATAGTGCTTTATTGATTAAGACGCTTTTATTTAGTTGACAACAACTTACCTCATACTTCAACGTTCTGTTAAGTAATTTGAAAAATTAAGAAAAATAAATAAATAAATAAGTAAAAACATTATATTTATTTTGTTTGTTTCAATAAACGGAATGTTTAGCGAATGTTGTATCAGCGTTAGTGTTTTGATACAGCTGAAAAAAAGAGACTGACATTTTGAAATATTTAAAGATACATTACCTTATCTAATGTAATAAAGTTACATGAAAACTATATATATATAGTAAAAATACACAATGTGGGCAGAAATTTCGTCATTATTTGAGTTCGGAATATGATTCTACCCACATTTCTTGTTGAAATATTTCTTGCATAATTTGAACGGACAATGTTATTGTTGTGTCAGGTGTTCAATTATCAGAAAGTGGTCTTGCTTTCTCAACCGGAACGGTATTCCATACAGAAACATCAACAAACGCAGATTCTGAAAATACCAGAACAGTTCCAACCAACACGGAGACGGAAGCACCAGTTCACATACAAAAGGCAGTATTAACTCATATTGTATCAGCTGGTTCTGCTTCCGGGGCTACAGCTGACGTCATCATGACGCCTGTCGATACTGAACAAAAAACGGTCGCATCTGAAATCGAGGCTTTTAAGGAAAAAAACATAACAATCTCCGGTATTAGAGAAGCAAAGAAGGGATCTGAAATTGAGGCTAAACGTGACGTTACCATAGCAAACGAGATAATTGAGAAAGGACAAAATGATCCTATAACCGAGGCTCCATCAAGTATGGACACATCAACTGCAAGTACAATATCAGTGACACACAGTCCTGAAACCGAGGCTCCCTCTGGTGTGTACACATCAACGGCAAGTACAATATCAGTGACACACAGTCCTGAAACCGAGGCTCCGTCTAGTGTGGTCACGTCAACTGTAAATACAAAATCAGTGACACACAGTCCTGAAACCGAGGCTCCGTCTAGTGTGGTCACGTCAACTGTAAATACAAAATCAGTGACACACACTCCTGAAACCGAGGCTCCGTCAAGTGTGGTCACGTCAACTGTAAATACAAAATCAGTGACACACAGTCCTGAAACCGAGGCTCCGTCAAGTGTGTACTCATCAACGGCAAGTACAAAATCAGTGACACACAGTCCTGAAACCGAGGCTCCGTTTAGTGTGGACACGTCAACTGTAAATACAAAATCAGTGACACACAGTCCTGAAACCGATGCGTTGACAGATGCTGACCCGACAACCTCCGGAAAAGTTACTGTTAATGAAGTCTCCAGTGCAACAACCACCATAACTGAAACCTTTACTTCCGGTTCAGATGGCAAAACAACGCAATCTGTAGGTGATGAAAACACAACTTCCGGAAGTATAAGTAAAAATCCATATAATTTACAAACAAGCGTTACCTCGCAAGGAAATACAAGCACCGATACTTTAATGAATACAGGTGCAGCAGCAACTGATAATACTGTGAAAACCGTAACGGAAATACTCACTACTGACACGCCATGTCCTAGATTTCCTAGCCGAATGGAGCAGGGGAAACTGTTTATCAGTTATGTAGAAAATCGATGTGAAATGTAAGTATATTTTGATTTTTAATTGTCTCCGAACTTTAATTTTCAAATCCACTTAATCATCTGATTCTTACAATGATTTAAAACTATAGACTCATTTTAACGATCAGTTCATAACATATAATCGAGTTTACACTTGGGCGTGTGTATTGTGGAATCACATCGAAAGCAACACACACACACACGCACGCACGCACGCACGCACGCATGTACGCACACACACACATCGATTTGATCGAAAGATCAAAATATTGAGGAAGAAAATTCTGATCAATAAAAAAAAGAATACAGAGGGAAAGCAAAATATCAACGAAAGAAATTATTATTTTTATTTCAATCAATCGATGTCTGTCTCTGTAATTAATGATTTAATCTAAATCATTGATTTTAGGGTTGTTACCATGGACACGGAAGTTGTGACGCCACTAACAATTCTACAGTTGTTTAAGGATAAAAACAGGTGAGTTACTTATGAAATATACATAGGAAAACAAAACATCGCATTATCTTAAGGTTAATTGCTTCAGAAGGATTGAAAAATGAACACCTTTCAATATAACATTAGGGGAGTAGATACAGCAGAGCCAAATGATTAACACATTGCATCAGACAGCCGTTTCGTCCTTCAAAGAATAGTTAGTAATTATAAGTATCTAAAGTTGTAGCATACAGGATGCCGAATGGTGATCATATACCGGATTAAACCAACAGATTTAACTTGACAAAACGACCAAACATGCCGTCGCCATTTGTACACACCACAAGAACATTTATTCACCTTCAACACAGGAGAGTTCCGTATACAGTTTATGCGTAAAATCACTAAAGAGTTATGTCCCTTTAACTGTTATACATACTAGATAGGAGATATCACAAAAGTGTTGAACGCTAGGAGGCTGGTCGAACGGAAGAATAAACTTTTGTTGTTATTATTTCTTCGTTTGATTATTAGACCTATACTGATGCATGTATTTCCATCGTTTGAATGTTTTTTTTTTTTCAAATGATGCAGAATTATCCGGAGACCGAGGGTGAAGTTCCAGACATTGAATGAAGAGAAGGGAGAACCTTGCCAACCTTTACCTACAACTCTGAATGATCCTATCGTCTTTGTGGACACAATGATGAATAGATGTTACATGTAGGTACAGCGTCTGTCATGTGTGTCCATGTATCGTATACCCAGGGTTTAGGGACACCAAAATACTGATAAACAGACCGGATATTGAGAACTTAGGAAATAAAACTGGTCACTCTTAAACACTTACCAAAATGTGCTTCGTGGACAGCTGTATGTTAGGGGTCCCAAGGAGAGAGAAGCATTGAAAAGTATGTATAAAAAACCTTCTGAACACAGTGTCTCATTTACATTGTACTTTTTGTAGATTTCCATGTAAATTTGTGTCTTCCTCGTAGAGTGCCCTCAGATTTTGTTTCGGCTTTGTAACAGTAATGGTGTAGTTTGGTTCCTATTTATCAGAAGTAATAACGTTACTAAATTTGATGTCTATTAAATCATTATGAATTGTGATTACAAACGGATGGAACCGTTATTTTGAAAGGAAACCGTAGTACTAGGGAAAGCCCACGTGGTCGAACAGTTGAACCCTTGCCTATGAACTTGACCCCCGGACGCCTAGGTGAAAGACAAGTGTGTTATTACTGAGTCACTCCACCACTCAAGATTTAATTATCAAAAATTAATGACAAGTCCCTATGGTATATAAGATTGCAATCAACCTTGACGAATAGAAACTCCAACTTCTAAAATACATTTACAAAAGAAACCATACATTTTTGTTTTACAGTAAATTGGAAATTCAGAAAGTTACAAATTCATCAGATTTAGAAGAAGAAAAAGACACGCCAAGGTAAGTCCCGGTAAACATATGTTATCTATTTCACTGCTTAGCAACTTAATGCACTAGTAACCTTGGATGTCCAGAGGACATTTCCCCAGAATGTGAAAGGTCATAAAGGTGAAAAAAAACCAACGCACAAACTAGCCGTCATTAATACAACATTGATTATCATGGATATTAATTTTGTCCTTAAGATATAAATAACTACACACGCAATGAAATGTTTCTTTCCATTTTTTCGTAATACAGAGTTATCTGCCCTTGTGAATACATATAGATTGATATGTCATGTGTTTGTGTGAAATACTAACGGAATACACATCAATGCTATCTGATATTATCTGTTGTTTTATTTACACAGACACAAGTTTATCCCTGTCTATCAATATATGGATGATGGTCAAAACCTGGAAGTTGCTACAGAAAGTCGGTAACTTCCGCTTTCTGAAGAATTAGGATGTCTGACGAAAGAACAATATCTTGTCTGAACACAAACTCGTACATCAATTGTGTGTGCATAAGCAGTTACGATAACCAATGTAAATACATGTATATAAAAAAACTAGAAGTAGTTCCAGGTGTCTGGGGTTGACCCTTGACCCGGCGCAGAATGGGGGGAGGCTTTTTACCTCCGGATGTAATAGTGAGGCTCGAAGTTTCACATATATATATATATATGTATATTGCTATGTTACATTTGTAAATGTGTGATTATACTGTTATTTGTAATAAATACTATAATAATAAACTATCTACAGTTATATTGTGTCACAAAGGAACAGGTGTAGTTCTATTGACAGCTAAGATAGATAATGATGTTCGGGAGAAAAATCCGTCAATAGACGAGAGGTTATCGCTCAGAACATTCATTTATTTGACGAAATAGTAAAGGAACTTACTCTGACGAAGTATGTGTAGGAGTTCTATATAACCATTTATATACTGTTTTTATAAACTTCGGTTTGCCGGTTGAAGCCTTAGACACATTGTTAGAACTTCAACAAAGCGAATGAAGATCGGAAAAATATTAATTGTTGAATTCCGGAAAAACAGAACATTGAAATGTTTGACAATTGAGAGGATAATTCTACCAAACACAGGATTGTGGTGTTTATTCTATATCGTACATTGGTAATATACTACATATTTAGACACTCTCTCTGCTACTTTTCATCACCACAACCGCCTCTCTATCACCATCGATGTGCACTTTTATTTCAACCCTTAGCGGTAATCTGCTGTCTTATGATGGTGTTTGAAAGAAAACGCCAAAACTTCACTTGTCGCCCTTTCACAAATTATCTTAAATGAGAGATTAAGCAAAATACACAATCAAAGAACAGAGTATCTAACCAAATCTACATTTTATAATAATGATAATAAACAATATAATAAAAGTTATTATACCACAACCAATAGCAGGTTAGAGTGTGATGTTTTTATGACTACACGGTCACCTTCATCTCATAGCACAAACAGTGGAAGATTAGAGTGTGACGTTTTGATGACTATATGGTCACCTTCATCTTATAACACAACCAGTAAAAGATTCGATTGTGACGTTTTGACGACTACACGGTCACCTTCATCTTATAACACAACCAGTAGAAGATTAGATTGTGACGTTTTGATGACTACATGGACACCTTCATCTTATAACACAACCAGTAGAAGATTAGAGTGTGATGTTTTGATGACAACTTTTGTAACAGATGTCCGGAACATCCAAGTCACTACAGTGCTTGGTGATGAGACTTTTGTAACAGATGTCCGGAACATCCAAGTCTTGTGATGTTTGATGACTTTTGTACACGGTCACCTTCATCTTATAACACAACCAGTAGAAGCTTGGTGATGAGACTTTTGTAACAGATGTCCGGAACATAACACAAGTCGCTACAGTGCTTGGTGATGAGACTTTTGTAACAGATGTCCGGAACATCCAAGTCACTACAGTGCTTGGTGATGAGACTTTTGTAACAGATGTCCGGAACATCCAAGTCACTACAGTGCTTGGTGATGAGACTTTTGTAACAGATGTCCGGAACATCCAAGTCGCTACAGTGCTTGGTGATGAGACTTTTGTAACAGATGTGTCACTACAGTGCTTGACTTTTGTCAGATGTCCGGAACATCCAAGTCGCTACAGTGCTTGGTGATGAGACTTTTGTAACAGATGTCCGGAACATCCAAGTCGCTACAGTGCTTGGTGATGAGACTTTTGTAACAGATGTCCGGAACATCCAAGTCACTACAGTGCTTGGTGATGAGACTTTTGTAACAGATGTCCGGAACATCCAAGTCACTACAGTGCTTGGTGATGAGACTTTTGTAACAGATGTCCGGAACATCCAAGTCGCTACAGTGCTTGGTGATGAGACTTTTGTAACAGATGTCCGGAACATCCAAGTCACTACAGTGCTTGGTGATGAGACTTTTGTAACAGATGTCCGGAACATCCAAGTCGCTACAGTGCTTGGTGATGAGACTTTTGTAACAGATGTCCGGAACATTCAAGTCGCTACAGTGCTTGTTAATGAGACTTTTGTAACAGATGTCCGGAACATCCAAGTCGCTACAGTGCTTGGTGATGAGACTTTTGTAACAGATGTCCGGAACATCCAAGTCGCTACAGTGCTTGGTGATGAGACTTTTGTAACAGATGTCCGGAACATCCAAGTCGCTACAGTGCTTGGTGATGAGACTTTTGTAACAGATGTCCGGAACATCCAAGTCACTACAGTGCTTGGTGATGAGACTTTTGTAACAGATGTCCGGAACATCCAAGTCGAGACTACAGTGCTTGGTGATGAGACTTTTGTAACAGATGTCCGGAACACATCCACAGTGCTTGGTGATGAGACTTTTGTAACAGACTTTTGTAACAGATGTCCGGAACATCCAAGTCACTACAGTGCTTGGTGATGAGACTTTTGTAACAGATGTCCGAAACATCCAAGTCGCTACAGTGCTTGGTGATGAGACTTTTGTAACAGATGTCCGGAACATCCAAGTCGCTACAGTGCTTGGTGATGAGACTTTTGTAACAGATGTCCGGAACATCCAAGTCACTACAGTGCTTGGTGATGAGACTTTTGTAACAGATGTCCGGAACATCCAAGTCACTACAGTGCTTGGTGATGAGACTTTTGTAACAGATGTCCGGAACATCCAAGTCGCTACAGTGCTTGGTGATGAGACTTTTGTAACAGATGTCCGGAACATCCAAGTCGCTACAGTGCTTGGTGATGAGACTTTTGTAACAGATGTCCGGAACATCCAAGTCGCTACAGTGCTTGGTGATGAGACTTTTGTAACAGATGTCCGGAACATCCAAGTCACTACAGTGCTTGGTGATGAGACTTTTGTAACAGATGTCCGGAACATCCAAGTCGCTACAGTGCTTGGTGATGAGACTTTTGTAACAGATGTCCGGAACATCCAAGTCGCTACAGTGCTTGGTGATGAGACTTTTGTAACAGATGTCCGGAACATCCAAGTCACTACAGTGCTTGGTGATGAGACTTTTGTAACAGATGTCCGGAACATCCAAGTCACTACAGTGCTTGGTGATGAGACTTTTGTAACAGATGTCCGGAACATCCAAGTCGCTACAGTGCTTGGTGATGAGACTTTTGTAACAGATGTCCGGAACATCCAAGTCGCTACAGTGCTTGGTGATGAGACTTTTGTAACAGATGTCCGGAACATCCAAGTCACTACAGTGCTTGGTGATGAGACTTTTGTAACAGATGTCCGGAACATCCAAGTCACTACAGTGCTTGGTGATGAGACTTTTGTAACAGATGTCCGGAACATCCAAGTCACTACAGTGCTTGGTGATGAGACTTTTGTAACAGATGTCCGGAACATCCAAGTCACTACAGTGCTTGGTGATGAGACTTTTGTAACAGATGTCCGGAACATCCAAGTCGCTACAGTGCTTGGTGATGAGACTTTTGTAACAGATGTCCGGAACATCCAAGTCGCTACAGTGCTTGGTGATGAGACTTTTGTAACAGATGTCCGAAACATCCAAGTCGCTAAAGTGCTTGGTGATGAGACTTTTGTAACAGATGTCCGGAACATCCAAGTCACTACAGTGCTTGGTGATGAGACTTTTGTAACAGATGTCCGGAACATCCAAGTCACTACAGTGCTTGGTGATGAGACTTTTGTAACAGATGTCCGGAACATCCAAGTCACTACAGTGCTTGGTGATGAGACTTTTGTAACAGATGTCCGGAACATCCAAGTCACTACAGTGCTTGGTGATGAAACTTTTGTAACAGATGTCCGGAACATCCAAGTCACTAAAGTGCTTGTTAATGAGACTTTTGTAACAGATGTCCGGAACATCCAAGTCGCTACAGTGCTTGGTGATGAGACTTTTGTAACAGATGTCCAAGGCTAACAGACTTTTGTAACAGAAGAACATCCAAGTCACTACAGTGCTTGGTGATGAGACTTTTGTAACAGATGTCCGGAACATCCAAGTCACTACAGTGCTTGGTGATGAAACTTTTGTAACAGATGTCCGGAACATCCAAGTCACTACAGTGCTTGGTGATGAGACTTTTGTAACAGATGTCCGGAACATCCAAGTCGCTACAGTGCTTGGTGATGAGACTTTTGTAACAGATGTCCGGAACATCCAAGTCACTACAGTGCTTGGTGATGAGACTTTTGTAACAGATGTCCGGAACATCCAAGTCACTACAGTGCTTGGTGATGAGACTTTTGTAACAGATGTCCGGAACATCCAAGTCACTACAGTACTTGGTGATGAGACAGATGTCCGGAACATCCAAGTCACTACAGTGCTTGGTGATGAGACTTTTGTAACAGATGTCCGGAACATCCAAGTCACTACAGTGCTTGGTGATGAGACTTTTGTAACAGATGTCCGGAACATCCAAGTCACTACAGTGCTTGGTGATGAGACTTTTGTAACAGATGTCCGGAACATCCAAGTCGCTACAGTGCTTGGTGATGAGACTTTTGTAACAGATGTCCGGAACATCCAAGTCGCTACAGTGCTTGGTGATGAGACTTTTGTAACAGATGTCCGGAACATCCAAGTCGCTACAGTGCTTGGTGATGAGACTTTTGTAACAGATGTCCGGAACATCCAAGTCACTACAGTGCTTGGTGATGAGACTTTTGTAACAGATGTCCGGAACATCCAAGTCGCTACAGTGCTTGGTGATGAGACTTTTGTAACAGATGTCCGGAACATCCAAGTCACTACAGTGCTTGGTGATGAGACTTTTGTAACAGATGTCCGGAACATCCAAGTCACTACAGTGCTTGTTAATGAGACTTTTGTAACAGATGTCCGGAACATCCAAGTCGCTACAGTGCTTGGTGATGAGACTTTTGTAACAGATGTCTGGAACATCCAAGTCACTACAGTGCTTGGTGATGAGACTTT